CGCCAGACAAACTCTCACGGCGCTTTTCACACCAACTCACTCACCCTAACCCGGATCGAGCTTAGAGAAGTATCAGCACCCAACCCCGTGTAACAGATAGGTAGAAGCATACTCGTTCGCCAGGCCTCTCCGCCCATAACAATTAGTAGTAGTAATAAAGCGCTAGGGGTGCAAAAGAAAGCAAATTTAGAAAGGTAGAATACTAGACTTTAGTATAGGAGCATTTTAGGTAGCTAAAAGTAGTTCTACTAGTCGTACGACATTAAAGAAGGCACGTAGTAAGGGTAGTTAAGAAAGGGCCCTAATAGGTTAACGGTACTATAGAACGTGTAGGAGAATAAGTTATAACTCTCGTACGTACTAAAAAGATATAGAGAAAGATTCTCTTTTAGATATAAGTGAGTCGTACGAAGTATCTATAGCTAGTATAGAGTAATTTAAGTTTTCGTACGTGGAGTTCGCGATGCCAAGAAAAAGTGGCACACTCGGTGGGGTGGCACTCTCGGTGGTGGAATACGTTATATATTTTCATATTGTGGTTATTAAATACTAACTCTAGAGCCGCATTAAGATAAATACTAGAAGACATTAAAATAGCGACGAAGCTAGATTCCATGGCGGACCATTGGGAGTACTGTGTTTGTATCAAGGCTCGAGATGGCGACTGGGGAGGGTAATGGGAGCTCTACAGTCGCCGTTTCTACTTTGTTGCCCATCTCGACGAGACTGATATCGCTTCCAGTAAGGTCCTTCTCTGCAGAGCGATAATAATCCGCTCGAGAACGGGGCGTGCTACCAATTGTAACTGTAGCCGCAGATAGTTTGCTAAACTGGCCGCTGCCGCTGCTTGCACTCTTGGAATTATGAGTACCCATACTGGAGCCCACCCTCTGGAGGAAAGAGCCCATGGACACCATAGCACTTCCCAGACCAGATATGCTGAACACAGGTCGCATTTTGAGAAGGCAACATGCAATCAGAGCGACGTTGGTTTCAACAACAGTCCAGAAAAGACCATGCGAAGTTATGCCAGTGATGTCATAGGTGGGCATACCCATGATGTACTGCTGATCGAGGGCAGCAGAGGGTGTGTTCTGCTTGATGCAGATGACCATGCGAACAACTGCAGAAGCAACAGCGAATCCTCCAAGTAGGAACACACCACACAACTGAAGTTTGCGGACAGTGGGGATTTGTAGACGCCAGATCTGTTAGAACCGTAATTAGCATCAAGTCTTCTTTTAAATACCGCTCATCGAGACTCACCCAAGGAAGTGGCAGAATTAGGATGCACAGGTCAAAAAAGGCATCCAGGACTGTGAATGCGATAGTCGCTTCAAATCCAAAAGGGCAATTCTCGGCAATGCTTGCCAGAGAACCCCAGTTGGCAGCGAAGTTCAGGCGGCAGTCGAAGATGAACCCAAAGAAGAATGCAATTATGAAACCGACAGTGAGGATAATGAAAACCAGAGAAGTCCACTGAAAGCTAGGCCATGTAAATATGCGACGGTAGAGGAAGAGGAATGCGAGTTTCGTAAAACCAATGGCCAACGGCTGCATAATGAAGATCATATACACACACTACTACAATTTTAGTCTAGTAAACACACGAGAAAAGAACAAGGGTACTCACCTTCTCTAAGATTACCAGTTCGGGTGTAGTGCTGTAGATCCAGCCTTCGACGTTGCTAGGATCATTATGACCGCCAATGATTCCCTTAGCGGCACCTAAAATGATGATTAGCTAAAAAAAAAACCCCAGTTTTTTCGTATTTGAGTTGCGCTTTACCATAGATCATAACGGTAGAAACACCAATAGTTGGGAGAAGAGCCAGGAGACAAAACAAATCATCGAGATGCTGGCTGAAACGCTCATCTCTAAATCTGTTCGCCTTCTTTCCTGCCACACCCAGTCGAATGGTGACGACAATAACAGTTGCAGCTGTGAGTGCGATACCAGTGGCCAAGCACGAAGTAACGTTGATGTATTCGTAGCCCATTTTGCCAGCGATTCAGCGACCTGGAGATGGTATTATGGAATGACTGTAGCAGCATTAACAAGTGGTATTCTCTTGGGTTATGTACCACATAGCATTCACAGCTGTGAAAGACTAAGTTTAGCCATCCTTCAACCCATACGCATGCCTGGACATCTAAGGGCACACCCTCCGAACACTGGTTGAGAGACCTAGTTAAGACCTATTTGCTTCCAGATCTATGGACGCACGCAAGGCCGTCCGTTGCAAGCGAAAGTGGCGTGTATAGGTTCCAAAAACCGGGAAAGGGGAATTAATGACATGTGGAACGTTGCCCACACATGGGCCTAGAACCGATACCTGACGCTAGTTTAAAGAAGAGGGTTAGTCTTCGATCGCAACAGACTGAAGCCGGACTCAGATCGATCCACGGTATTGGCACGTCACACTATCTCGGGCACGGCCGCAAACTCTAAATACGCCATCTCGTTAACTCTTGCCCCGTGCACGATGTACATATCATGCTGACCATCGTGAGTATTTGATTTGCAGGTTTACTGCAACGTCTTCCAGTCGCTACATCTCACATTTATCGTCACCATGTTTGCTCGCTATAAGCTCGTATCGTCAAGCGACAGCGCTTCGGAACATAGTCCGGATCCCGACTCGACACGCGGACGATTCTACCGAACTATAGCACTAACAGTGCTTACAATCGCCAATGTCTGTGTACTAGGCTTGTCCATTGCTATCTGGTACACCACACCTACCAGCCTTGCTTCGCCCAACGCCCCCGATGCACAACCCATTGAACTTGCTAGAGTAGAGTCGCTTCCCATCGATTTCGTTCCTTTCTATTGGAATACGCCATGGGGTGCACCTAACGCCTCGGAAGCTGATCCGCTGTGGGACAACATCAACACTGCACACGGTCATATCGCAGTGGACCATGAGTTCGCGGCAGAGAACCATGTGAGTTAGCTCGAACCACTTTCCTGGAAACCCTGACAGTGTGGGTCAACGGTTGATGGTTAACACATTCAAAAGTGGCCTCCCTCTATGAACATACCCGGAAAGCCTGGTAAAGGATTGTATCTCCTACAGGCCTACCATCAACTCCACTGCCTCGTACGTCACTCATCTGACTTTTAGCTTTTCCTCTTATCAGAAAAATTCTCTAAGCATATTAGTATAGCGTATTGTTCGCGCCGCATATTTAACTCTAAAGCGCCGAGAGCTCCCTATCTTCCCTTCGGATCACGTCTTGCATTGCTTTGACGCCCTCCGCCAGCACATCATGTGCCACGCGGACAACACTCCGCTCTATGGTCATGGCCATGGGACAGCTGGTGACGGACAACTACACCAATGCCGGGATTGGAACGCGCTTAGGGATTATGCAACAAAGAATACAGCGTGCTTTCGCGATGGCGAGCCTGGTATGAGTTTTGAAGACCGGTTTGGGGTGTGTGATGACGGAACAGATGGCTTAGAGGAGCGTGTGCCAGTACTGGCAGTCTCATAATCATCTTCATCCTCAAGTAATACATTATTTCGTACAATTTCAACATGGGCGAAACTACATCAAATTTCATGTTGTTACAGTCATCATCCTACTGCGACGGTTGCCACTGCGTGTGGGTTCTCTGTTCACGCACGTTGTGGCGTTGTCCAGATCCCGCTAGCCGAAAAACTATCAATTATTGTGTTATATAAAGTTGACGCTGGTAACGTAACAGTACGTCATAGGAAGATGTCTTGGCCAGTCGTTACATTAGGGTGATGAAGCCATTCTGCATCTCTTTAGGTTTTTCACAATTTGAATGTTGTCACTCCACTGTGCAATCAACATAGCTGAGTTCGGATTTGAGTAGCCAGCCACGGTGTATATCATAGAGTAACTGTGCTTTGCACCATGTTTGCAAACAAATTTTGCGCTAACAATTATAATAAGATGGCGAAATAGCTCCATGTCAGCCAAAGGGGTCCTTAGCTTCTCTAAAGTTATTTCTCTGGGTCTGCGATCTAGATGGCACTGTCTAAAAACGTAGACAGAGACTGCAGGTAGCTTAGTTCTCCTTATTCTGGAGATTTATGGATCCAAATAATGCTGAGTGGCTGGGCAACGTACGATTGCACACATGGTGTAGATGTTAGCGCATATCGCAGAGGCGCTTGCAGTCCTCCTATGTACCGGATAATGTAAAGTTTCATAGTTCGGGGAAAAAACGTGTGCTGGAGACAGTGTTCTGGCCCAAAGCGGATTGAAAAAGTAGGGGTGCGGCTGATCGATTCTAGAACCGCCACATAATCCCCTAAGGCTAGGCGATACGAGCTATGCTATTAGTTTATGATTGGCTGCATGCGTGTTGAAACTTTCAAAAACTTGTCTGCGCGACAAGTGCGGAACCTCAATTATGCGGGCGTTTTTGGTCAGAGTGCTCTCTGCATCTAAGCCTGCTTAAGGATAGTCACTCTATACCAAAATTTGGAAGCCTCATAAATTTGAAATCTTTGGTATAGAGAGCGCAAGGAATAGAGTTTTGGCAACTAAGGCGTTTCGGAATGTGGATCGGGTACGATTAGTTCGCTTCAAGTCAACTATTCACAGGAGAGTTGACAACAAAAAAGATCAAAACACACTCTACGACAAACTTTCTTCAACGGGCATAAAGCGACCGCGAATTCCAGTTCATCTACCATCGTCAGGCTCAATCATCTCTACCTCGTTTTATCAGCGTCTTACATTTAATTATCTTGGCTATCAGAGGCTTCTCTCTCTTCGTGTTGTAAATTGTTCAATCACTTCGAGTTTTCACAATGCAGTTCACTACTCCTCTCTTTCTTCTTTTTGTTGCTGGCGTGACCGCCTCCCCTCTTCTTGGAGTCAGCGTCGGGGGCATCAGCGTCGGTGTTGCCGGTTCTAGTGGTCTCGTTAATGTGAATTTGGCAACAGCCAAGCCTTCTTCTGCTGTTGCTACTTCTACTAGGACAACGACTACCACTGCAGCCGCAAACCCGACTATGCCTTCGTCTTTCTCAGCCCCGGTCCAGGGCCAAGGCATCCTGACTCTTGACAACTTGCCTGCTATGCCAGCCGTCATTGACAAGAGTCTTTCCGGTGTTCTTGGAGCTGTTTACGGTCTTAGTATGTCTACTCCCTAGTTCACTCCTATATCACTATTCTTTAAGCTACTGACATATCCTTTTAGTGTCTGGAGTTTGCAGCACTAATTTCAAATGCACTGTCACCGTTGCAGGATCTATTCAGTCTCTACTTGTAGATGGCGACAAGTACGCAACGAGTAGCTCTGTGACAGCGTGGTGCGATCAGGGTCGGTGCTACGGCACTGCCGATATCCCTCTTACTGCTACCGCTCCATTCACCATCACTTGCGACCACCTCACTGGAGGCACCAGTGCATGCTCGGCCACTATTTCAGGAGCTGTTTCCGCTATCTTCGCTAACGGCAGGCAAGTAGGTAAGTACAGTCGAGATCACTGGTCTCAAAACGCCGCTAATAGAATTTAGAACTCTGGGGATGGATCACACCCGCTGGTTACTGCAAGGATGGTATTTGCGTTGCTTCTATTTCCGCGGTTGGTGACCCAATGTACTAAGCGAACTTCGAAGTAGAATAACTAGGTTTCTATACTAGTTGTTATAGCGCGTGTAGATCTATTAGTGTGTATATTTTCTACTTAATTTTTTCTTACATTATATAAATATATTGATTATCTCCAGCCAGTTGCCTTTAACTATCAGACATCATAGATTACATAAGACTCTGCTGCAATGCACGTGCTAACCGTCAAGACTTGGCGTCGCATGGCATTGCATAGCCTCAATCCACGACGACATACGAACGCCACGACGCCATGAGCCCAATGTGGAGTCAGCGCCGTCTGATACGAGGATCCAAGTCTTGGATGATGTTTGGGATATCTCCCGCCCAGACCCGACACTTGACATGAAGCCTCCTACACTCGCTCTTGATTCCCATATAGCGCGACCGCTCGTTGCGTCGTGCATACTGCTTGCTGTCGTGCTGTAGTACCTATCCTCTCGTTACCTTCACATTGCATCATCCAACAACAAACATGTTCTGGAAAGCACCACTTCTTATCCTCGCGGCGGCGACAGGCATCCAGGCCGACTTTATGGTGTACACCGAGCCTCCAATTCCCACATCCGCAATACCCTCATTCCCAAACCCATCGGACGTACGTACCATCCGCTGCATCAATCCTACATCCCGCTAATAACCATTTCAGGCTGCCAGTTGGACTACTTCCGTCTTCCTCAACGCACGACTCGCTTACGCGTCTTTCACAAGGTCCCTCGGCGAGCCCTATCAATCCTCCCTCACCTCCGCGCGCTCGGAAATCGACGCCTTTGTCTCAACTGCTTCCAACTATAGCATCCCTCCTGAAGTTACCATGGCCGATGAGACACCAACATTCTTTTCCAAGCCGGACTGGTATACTGCGCTGCCGAGTCGCGCGAGGGCCTTCAAGGAGCAGCAGGTTAGCGACCAGTTCAGTATCGTACGAAATGTCATTGCGGCGCGGGTTACATCGGCGAGCTCGACGGGCGCGGCGATGCCGACAGCAGTTCCGGGGCAGTGGTTCGGCGCCGAGTTCGGCGTCATGGCTGCGGCCGCCGCCGCAGCATTCTTGTGAACTGAAATGGCTGGAAGGGCGACCTGGCATGATTCAAAAACGATAAACGAGATAGATGGGTGTTACGGATAATTTTGGGTATGGAAAACATGCAGAGTCATGCTACGAATTGACTACTCTGGTCAGTAGAAGGTGATCCAATCATCATGCACGAATGAAATAAATCATTTCAATTTAAAATACCAACCCACATCATCTGCGGTTTGCTTTTACCCTATCCTCTCCAGGTCCTTGAGAAACCTATGAAACTTGCCCATGAAAGATTTCATGCCGACATCGGTAGTCAACTCATGGTCAGCATCTGGCAGCACACCACTCTGATCACTTGCCAAACCCGTTGGCATGGCATCCACCCATTTCTTTAACAACGCCTCTTTATCCACAGCTGGCGGTACCATCTCATCTTTTCCAGACACGATAATCAATGTCGGCTTATCCAGTCTACCAAACAACGACTCGATCGTAGAAGCAGGCAGATCAGAAGAAAAGAAATCGTCATCTCCCCCAACAGAAACAAGCGAATGCCAGCGATACGCACTAATCGGCGACGAGAAAATCGAAGGAATAAGATCTGGGGGCATAATCTGCATCTCCTTGCCCTTTCCAATAAGATCTTCAGCGTGCTGAAGACTAGTATGCAGGAACTCTGGGGACATGAGTAGACTAGCAGTCTCGCGGTCCGAAGTGAGTGCTTGCATAATGTATCCGTCCACTGGAGGCGGTGCTGGAAGAGTGGTTGCGTATGTCATGATAGCCTGGCAGCCTACTCATTAACGGTTAACTCAGTGCTTTTTGCTAAAGTCACCAGGAGGTAAAAAAACAGCATACCAGTCGAACTCCCCATCACCACCACCTTCTCTTTTCCCACATACTCGCCCTTCAGATACGCCACTAGCGCCGCGAGGTCCTTAACATCGTTTTCTAGACTCGAATATCCGAATCCCGTGTAACTACTTCGCATCCGGAACTCGAATACCGAGTACGAGACAGCCCCTGTTTCTGCCATGTTTTGCAGGGCATTATCTATCTTGAGGACCAAGTCTGATGTTTGCGGTCCACCGGTTAGACCGCTGATGTATATTAACGCATTAGTTGAATCTCTTGTGCCGTACTCGTATGCGCAGGAGTGTGGTGTTGGGGAGGTGAAGGGATGGACGCGGACGATGTAGGGGCTTGGCATTGTGTCTATGGTAGTACAAAAGTGATTGCATTGAAGTAGGACTTGAGATGGTTAGATATATTATTCCAGAGAGAATATTGGAATTGGAATAGGTAAATCCTGTTCACGTGTGTTCGTTGGGGCGGAGTTGTGTTGCGTATAGAGGCATGTGTGATTGGCTGCGAGGTACAGTCGGGGTAGTAGTCCGCCTTACAGTAGTGCGGCATGATTAATGACCCATGACTTTCTAGGCAACCGGAATGGCACTTAGTCACTTATGAATATGGATAAACATATCTTGGTCATTCCAGATGTCCCGTTAACTCAATCAAGGATCGTGGTACAGCCTCTGAAGAAAGAACACTATTAGCACATGTTTGCAATTGCAGTAGTGGGCTCACCCAGTGAGTATTAACTTTCCTAAAAGAACACCTGGAAATCAAACAACACTGAAAAAGAATCCGTCCAACCATCATAGGGTTATGGGATACAGTATTTGGTAAACAGATTGTACCCTGATTCTGCCGTTTTCGTGAAGCATCGAATATCCCGAGCGAAGACGAATGTTGTGCATATCCCTATTCCCAAAAGTATCACAAACTTTACCCGTGAATCATGCACCCCTAAATTTTCACAAAATCAATACAAACACATATCCTTAATCCAATACTTCAGGACCAATCAAATCACTTCCCAGCCTACTAAAACATGCAAAGATCCTCAAACACCCTACTTCCCACCATCCCATCAAGCCACTTCTCAAAAAGCAACTCCAACTCCCTCTATATCCCACTACACCCCCTAGCCCCCCTTACACCCCATCAACATCCTCCAAAAACCTCCATCACCTTACTCTACACCCTCTCCTCCAATCAACCCTCCCACACCCACCCTTCACCCCTGCCCCTCCAACTCAGCAACCATGACGTCAGCGGCCCTCATTCCCACTTTATCACCACTACCACCACAACACGCATTACACATTACGAAACAATCCTATATTCCCAGCTACCCCCCTTCCCTACTCTCCTTTTCCCCAGGACGAAAAAATAAATAAATATCCCCCCCTTTGAGTAACTATCTAAGATAATCACGATACTTTAACCCCACCCCCCACCCGGCCATAGCAAGGACAAAGTAAAGTAAAGTAAAGTAAGAAAGAAAGAAAGAGGTGAAAAAAATGGGTATACCCTACTCCCGCCAGATAAACGCCGCCTTCGAACAAGTCACCCCGCTCGTCGCCGCCGGCTTCACCGTCCTGCGCACCACACGCGACATATCCATCTTGTTGGCGATAATCCAGGTTCTGACTGTTGTGCTATTGGCGTTGATACTAGGGGTACTGGTCACAGTGCTTTATTGTGTCAATCCGGATTTGGAGGTAACTCTTCTTCTTTCCTACCCTTATTCACTTTTAGGGGAGGGGTCGGGAGGAACTTTGCGGGGGGAGGAGAGAAAGGAAGAGGAAGGAAGAGGAGGAGGCTAACGAATAGAAAAAATAGGAAGAAAGACAACGCATAATAACACCCTGGCTGCGCTATGCCGCGCAAATAAGTATCTGGGGGGTTACGAAGTTTGTGGTGGGACTCGCGGTGATATCGAGTGCGGCGAGTGCGGCGGTGTGGAAGGGGATTGTAGCGAAGCAGTGGGTCGAGGATGTGGAGTATGAAGGGAATGTGCGGGCGGAGATGGCGTTGGAGGAGTTGGATGAGGAGATGGGGGATGATGAGGCGGGAAAGAAGAGTGGAAAGGGGAAAGGGAAGAAGAAATGAGTTCAATGTGTAGTACGTTCGGTTTGTTTTTTTTTCGGAAAGAAAGAAAGTGATAATTCGTATTAACTAACTACATAACCTTACGAAATTCTCTTCGGTGCAGTATACCCACCCCGATCAAGTAATAACAACGCAAACATGCCTCCCATGACCGGCCTCGCTTTGAATTCGATGCCAGGAGGAAAGGTGCCATCATTCGTCTGGTACAGATCCGTAAACGGCCTACTCGTTGGCGTCTCATTAACCCAAGTCGCCAAGTCATGTAAAAACATGTCTCGAGTTTCATCGCTCGCTATAGCGGCGCAAAAGACTTCCCAGTCGGATTTAGTGTAGTATCTGTTTCGCGTGTCGAGAGGGACACCGTATTTTTCTTTCACGGTAGGGTAAAAAGCAGACTGAATATCGTAGACTTGCTGAGGCACGAGGTCGAGCTTGAGCAGGCGGTCGTTGTAGAGGTTGTAGAGCAGACCGTGGGTGCTGGCGTTTCCGTAGTTGAGGATGGCGTGAGGGGGGTTGTCAGCGCTGTTGATACCCAGCTGTTGCCACTGAGAGATGTAGTTGTGGGCAATGGAGGTGTAGTTTTGGGCGTCGGCTGTTTCATTAATAAGGCTTGACATGCGCGACATGGCCTCGATGCCGATGATTCCCTTGAGTGCGAGGTTGGTTTGGTTCACGAGATGGCCGGCAAAATCGTCTGTTGATAGTTGCTCTGCGGGGTAGAGACTGTCTTGGACAAGATATTCAGTCCATTGCTTGAGGATCTTGTAGTGCTGGCGGATGTAGTCAGTATTTCCGGATAGCTGGACATATTCCAGAACCATGACCATGTGGTTTCCGCACTCCTCTAACGGCATAGGCTCATCTTGGCCATCCGGATGACCCGTCGCATTCGGGTAGTGGGTACCCAGATCATGAATTGCCCACTTGTTCGGATAGTGTCCACTCTCTTGGTTTTCGAAATGGGGATCGAGCATCAGCTTCATCAACTCAGGGTTGGTGTAGTAGAAGATGGGCGAGGCGGGGTAAATGACATCCACCGTCTGCGTGTTGCCGTTTGATGAAATTTCCTTAAGAAACAGGTAATGCTTCTCCTCGGTTCCTACAAGTTGAGTGGCGCCGAATGCCTGGCGGGCTGCCAGAGTAGTCAGAATGGCGTAATCGTCTCCTCCAGCTGCCTTTGAGTCGCTTGAGATTTGATCGTCGAGCTCAGTGGAGAGCTTGGTTGACTCAGAATAGTCATTGTAAAAGAATGAAAGTGCAGAGAGATCATCTGCAAAATAGCTCTTCCATAATGAAGGAAGAGTCGTAAGTCCTCCAGCGCCCAGAAACTGGATGGCATCGTCTTGACACACACCAATGGTAAACAGCTGGTTTTTCGCTTCCGAGCCTACTTTCTGAAAATCTAGAGAGTACGCAAAAACAGGCCATTGATCGTTGATTGCTCGGAAATTGCTATCTTGTGAGTTGTCGAGTTTGCCGCTGTTGTTGAAAGTTTCGCGGACTTTGACATCAGCACCAGACATGTACGTCAACCCCTCTACTGATTGAGTCCCGTAGTACTAGGAACGTCAGACTCTAGGTCAGCAACAAGTAAATGATAGCACTCACCCAATTTCCCCATTCTGCTCGATCATTGACTTCGCTAAAGGTCTGTTGATTCTGCTTCCACACTTTGTGGTAGTGTATGTCGTCTGATGTGGTGCCAAAATCCCACTGAGCTATGGCGCCAATGTCACCAGATGTCCACTCTATTTATTAGTTAGCCAACATCCTCCTTCTTTGAGAAAGTCTTCCTACCAGCACTAATGTCAGTGTAAATTTGAACACTATGCTCTGAGCCATCTAACGCTGAGACTTCGACCTCTATATAAGAGAAGAGCAGTGATTGGCGCTTAAAATCGGTTGGAGTAAGTGGTGATAGAAATGTGACTTTGAGTTGGACTTTGTTGTCGGCATTGAAAGTGAAGATACTTTTGGTTGATGTGTACTCAAAGGATGTTTGATTTACAAAGTCCTTGAAGCCGCTGGGTGCGCCCATCCAAAGGAGAGTTTTCCCATCAACCTTGATCATGCCCGCCCAACCTAGCCACTGACCGCTATAGACAGTTAATTCAGAGGTTCAAAAATATTTTTGAGGAAAACGGACGTCCAGAATGACGGCCACTGGCCTGGTAGGTACCCGCCATTTCCACCGCTGCTTCCTGCAGGTAACCATGTACTCAGATAAGGGCTTTTGACAGCTAGTGGTAAAGACGGAGGACGCGCCGGAGTGAAGGTCGAGCTGGATTGAGTGACGGCTGTTTGAAGCAGGCTAAAGAGCCCGGCTAACAGAGGAAGACGCATAATCAGCACTAGGCGGTGTCGCCAAGTGAATATACGAATATTTGGGAGAAGCCATGGCCGCCAGATGTTATATACGCGGATTTGATCCGCCCTTGCCCGGTGTCACATTGTGCCCACTGCAGCTAGCCATGGGAGAGGTAACAGGTATGCGGATATGGATAGTAAGCGCCAGACTTAAACCCAGTAGCTTCATGGGTTAGATGATCAGCACTAGTCTCAGGCGGGCCACTGAGCAATCTCCTTATGGCTGTGAATGACAACGAGCCAATTCCATATGAACATAACCGGCACTTGATCTTGTAGATGCGAATCCACGTGGGGACATGTTGGTATCACTTTGCGTTGTCAGTTGTACGTCCGCAAACATGTCTCAACGGTGCGACCGGAGTGGGGAAAATGGACCACAACGAAAATCAAGCCGGTACCAAAGAAAAGTTGAGTAGAGACACGGCTAAGATCAGCAGTACAGTAGGTCCAGCCCGTTCTTAGTGACACACCTGACCTAATTCGAAGGATTGTGTTTTCGACCTGCCAGTCTAGATGAAGAGCACGAGGTTCTGCAGTACAGCAGCACTTCATTTATTGAGGATCATGAAGAATGACTTAGTCGAGCCTGATCATGCGCCTCGTTGTTAGCCCATTGTTGTGAGATCAAGGGGTTGCATGGGAGGCCAGGGTTATGTCCGAGTGATCTTGGCGAACGATGGTTTGCTTCGTGCAGGAGCGGATTCCACGCCAGCAGACTTGACGATACCTCGTGACTCTACCTTGGTTGGTGTTGAGGAGTGACGCAGTACAGAGGGCTAGCGGCAAAGGGGACAAAATAGGATGGGATTGCCAGGCGCTGTTTGACGTGTGTATTGGCACGGGCGTTGGCGTAGGCGTTGGCGCTGGTGCTGGTGCTGGTGGCAGGCTGGTCGTACGCACTAAGCAAGTGCTAGCAGGTGCATGATGCGGGGAAGGCGTGCATGCACCCTGCCGTACTTTGCCTTCAACAGGCAAGTGCCATCGGCTCACTTGCAGCTCTACAGTCACTCGAGCATGCAATCACACTGGACAGAAGCAAGCTGTATAGGCCAAAAGTCACGGCTGTCAAGGGAGTACTTTAGGTAGCATGGCTACGTTACCATCAGAGAGCATGTGGTCCAGCGGCTTTATCAGTCTTCGCCATACGAGTCAAGCAGTATTCATTCTACAGCTAGTATCAATTTAATTGACTTCCTCACACATACAACAACCAGCCAACGTGAGCCTATGATGCGTCTTTCAGACTGCAACACGTTGAACCAAGGTAGTCACTGCTACCACAGCGCCAAGTAAAGCACAATGCATCATGAGATCCTTCCATCCATAGACCCGACCCTTCCAACCATTGCTAAGCCAACGCCAGAAACAACCATAATCGTAAGTGAAATGACGGAAGTAGGGTATCCAAAAGCCAAACCAAGTGGCTAAAGCGAACAATATCAGGTCGTTGAGCGACGACCTCGGAGTGGGAAATTAGTGTGGCCAAAGAACAAGGAAAAAAGAAAATAGAAGCGATGTCAACGGGGTATCCCAGTGCATGATGTAGCCCAGCCCACGCAACACCAAACATAATTTTACACAATCAGAACCCACCGTATCACGACTGGGCAACCCATGGACGGGGAACGTTCTCGAAGCGCTCTGCACAGCCGCGAAGCCAAGCACAGTCCAACACATCGTGGACATTCCAGCGCCTCTCGCAGTCAATGTCAAGACAACCCCGGACCAGGGCCAGCGCGTCCTCGATACAGCCATCTTGGGCGGCTTCCGAGTTGCGAATCGCCTCTTCATCCCATTGGCAGCTTTGAATCTTCTCCATGGTCTTGATGTCAAGACCATCGTTGAAGGGCAGAGTGGCGGTGAGCAGAGCGTACACTACTACACCGAATGCCCACATGTCAGCCGCGGGAGAGAAGACAGGCCCAGATGTGCTGAAGAGCTCGGGAGCAGCATACTGCAAGCTGCCAGCAATCGACGTGCTGGTCTCGGATCCATCAAGAGGTTGCGGCTCTGGTCCATCTCGCTGGTCGCTGATGATGAAGTCGGCCATGCCGAAATCGCACAAAAGGACGTCGCCGCCCTCGCTCTCAGCATTGGGCACAGTCATGTCGAGGAGACAGTTTTCGAGCTTGATGTCACGATGCACAACCTGGACGTCATTGTGCAGGTAACGCATGGCCGATGCAAGCTGGTAGGCATAGCGTTTGACCAAGTGTGCTGGGAGCCCGTTTGCCTTCTTCTTGCGTGTCTCCCGGATCAAATCAAACAACGTTCCGCCCCTGTTCAGCTTGGTGATGCAGAATGTAGCATAATCGGTCGTGTACACTCTCAGCAGGGGAATGATATAAGGATGCCGTAGAAAGCGCCAAATCTCCACCTCGTGGTCAAATTGTGTCTGAATCTGCTCATTCTCCAGCTCAGACTTGTTTTGCTGCGTCTTGTGCACAATCTTAACCGCGTCAACAACGGGTTTGCCATTCTCCATGCTCGTAACCTCCTTGACAACGCTAAAGCCGCCGTAGCCAATTTGCTTTCCGATAATGTACTCGCTGTCGTAGCCAATGCCCTGACCCTCGTCATCCGGCTGGGGTGGTCTGATGGGTGCCTCGGAAGCCTTGTAGCGCGCAAGGAAAGAAGCAGCCGGTGACATGGATGACAGGGAGCGGCCAGAGCGGGTGGATGATCGCCGACTAGCACGCCTGATGCTTCCATCCTCGCCAATCTCAGACCGGAAGCTCTTGTTTCGAGGAAAGCCAATGCGCCGTGGGGAAGGCGAGAAGAGCGGAAACTCCAAGGGTGAGGTGGCCTGCATTGGCGAAAGCACATAGTCGGACGGGGTCTCCAGCGGCGTTTGTGCTTCGTCAAGTGGTGGTGAGGCCGTAGCATCCGACGTCAGCGATGCAACCTGGTCGGGGTACTCGTTGTCTCGTGCCAGACCGTCAATGGGGGCTTGGGCAAGGGGAAATCGAGAGCCTCCGACGCGGTACTGCATGCCTCTGCGTGCCGAATAAGGCAGCTCGAGATAGTCCTGCTCATCAGAGTAGCTTCTGTTTTCAGGGTGGCGCGACTGGCGTGCACTCTTGGGGACTGGCACGCCCAGGCCGACGCCTTCGCCAGAGTCAAGGCGGACCTCGTCATTGAAGCTGATACTCGTCTTGCGCTGGCGGAAGCGGGCCAGGTAGTCATCGTCGCTGCCACTTCCGCTGCTGCCTACGGCGAGGGAGCCGACATGGCCGAAGTCGCTCTGGTGGTCAGCGGGGTAGGCGCCATGGGAGGATGAGTTTGCGTCCTGAGCAGCCTCAAACTCGGCAGTCAGCTGCGATGGGCCATGGCCGGCGTGGGGCGAGTCTTTGCGGGAGAGGGGCGCGAAAGAGGCAAAGGTCGAGGCGACGGGCTTGCGCGGCGTCGAGGTGTCGAGTCTGAGCTTCTGGAAAGAGTGTGAGGGGTCTGAAGTCGGGGCCATTAAACCGGTTGTACAGTGAATGCAAACCTCTGTGAGCGCCGGCGGCAGCGGCGGCGGGCGGTCGTAGTATTAATGTGCGTCGTGGTCGTGGGGCTGAGGCGAGGACGTGGAAGGGAAAGGGAAGGTTTGCGGCAGCCAAGGGCGAAACCGGGAAGGGGAGGTAATAGGATTATGTCGTGGTGGGCGCGGGAGGCAGCGACGTGGTGCTAGCGGAACGGTAAAATTACGGTCGCGCCCGGGCTGCGATGTGCCTGCGTAGGAATGGCTTGGGGGTGGCAATGTCAATGCTACCGCACAACGAGCATGGAGATGGGCCGAGGGCAGGAGGTGAGCAATTAAAAGGGGACGGATGCTGGGGGGGGGGGGGGGGAAGGGTGTGCACGAGAGTAGAGTAGGAGAGAGAGTGTGTGTGCCGCCGCTCTTTGTCCTTTTTTTTGTCTTTCTTTCTTCTTGTTTCTTTTTTGCGCTTGCCTGAGGGCGGCGCAGGTTTTGTGGTCGGCCCATCCCCCACGCATGTTGTTAATAGGCGGCAGTCAGCAGCGGGCGCAGGCAAGAGAGTGGATGGTGGGATGCAGAGCACGTGAGCAGCCTCGCAGCCATGCAGGCAGCTGTGGTAGCGGGCCTATGGGAGCTCGAGGGCGGCGCCGGAGCGAAGATTTGCGCGGCCACCAGAGGGCTCTAGTCGACCGTTGTTGAGGCTTCTGGGCGAGAGACTGCCGTGGTTGGTGGCAGCAGCGACATAGCCTTTGGCTGCTAGGACACAATACTTTTACTTGGCCTACCCTACCCCGCCCGGAGGCGACATTCGGGCTGCGGCTGCCAGGGTCATGGTGGGAGGAGTGCTATGTAAGTACAGCGTGGGCGGCCCATGTGCATGTACTCTTACATACACAAACACATGCGAGGTACATGTGCCGGTCCAACTACTCTATTTTTTTTACTGCTGTGCGTGGTGCTGGCCTCGTCGACAGACAGACAGACAGGCAGACAGGCAGACAGGGTGGGCCTTTCGGGGAAAAGAGGGTTGGCGGTGCATGGCCCAGCTGCGGCCCGCAGGACACTGAGCACAAGCAGGACGGGTGTGGGTGGATGGGTGGGCAGAGTGGGCTTGATGCTGCTGCTACTGCTGCTACTGCTGCCACTGCTGGTGAAGACAGTGGTGGATGGAGACGGTGACAGACTCTGCTCGGCTGGGCAGGGACGAATGGCGAGGGATGCATGGCGACACTTATCGTGAGGGCAGCCCCGGCGTCTTTGCTGGCCTGGCGAACACGTCAAGCGGCCGGGGCAGCGACATGACGTCGCCCGCTGTGCTGGACGCCGCCCCGGTTGGCTCACCGCAACAACAGCAGCAGCTAGGCCGTTTGCATGCTGCCCCAGCCCCGTTTGGTGGACGAGCGGGCGTGCTGCTGCCGTTGATGCTGTCTGGCGTGCATTGCGCCTGTCTAATCTCGCCCTGCTCGACGCCTCTCCGTGACCCTTGCTCTCTTGTTGGCGCTGCCTGCATGTCCGGGCGACGCTTCCGCTCACTAGCACCACCAGCTCAACTCCCGCCAAGCAAGGGCGTGCGCGCATCCAACCTCGACACGCCCACTGGGTGACAACATCACAGAGCTCGTCGACCCCATCGCACCGGCCCCCATCCCAAACACCACCATCTCCGCCCATCATCACCACAACCACAACCACCACCGCCGCCGCCGCCTGCTGCCCGCCCTCTGCCCTGCGCGACTGGTCCCGCTGCACACTTGACTTCTCGCTCCCGCCGCCCCATCACCACTACACGCCTCCGCCCGCCCGGACTGCGAGCGCCAGCGCCTGTAGCCATGGGCATCTCCGACCTCTGCTACCGTTTCTTCTGCTGCGGCGGTCAGTATTCTCGCAACTGCACGCCTTGTCTGAGCCTTGCTAACTGACCGTCGCCCTGTGCAGCCCGCTCGAGGGACAGCATATACGATCCCGTGCTCGCAGATAGCGAGAGGGAAGCTGTTGCCGACCTGCTTGGCTTCCTCGAAAATGTACGCCCACCCGCCCTCTGCACCACCACCACTGCATCCTGCTAACCTGCTCGCAGCGAGCCGAGACCGACTTCTTCTCTGGGGAACCCCTCCGCGCCCTCAGCACGCTCGTCTACTCGGACAACATTGATTTGCAGCGGTCGGCAAGCTTGACTTTTGCCGAGATAACAGAGCGAGGTACTTGGCCCTGCCTCACCACCATCATTGACGCACCTAACCATCCTTGACACAGATGTACGAGAGGTCGACCGCGACACGCTCGAGCCCATCTTGTTCCTGCTCCAGAACCCAGATATCGAGGTGCAGCGTGCCGCCAGTGCCGCCCTGGGCAATCTTGCCGTCAACAGTATGTACACACCGCAGCTCTTGCAAGCTTCTTCTAACCCTCGCAGCCGAGAACAAGGTAGCCATTGTCGCTCTCGGTGGCCTGGCGCCCCTGATCAAGCAGATGAACTCGCCCAATGTCGAGGTGCAGTGCAACGCCGTCGGATGCATCACCAACCTGGCTACCCACGAAGACAACAAGGCCAAGATTGCACGATCAGGCGCCCTCCAGCCCCTCACCCGCCTCGCAAAATCAAAGGACATGCGCGTCCAGAGGAATGCGACTGGTGCGCTGCTCAACATGACACACTCAGGTATGCCTGCTTTTCTGATTAGTCCATGGTCCATGCTCACACGATAACAGACGACAACCGACAGCAGCTGGTAAACGCCGGCGCAATCCCCGTACTCGTCCAGCTGCTCTCTTCGTCCGATGTCGACGTCCAGTACTACTGCACCACCGCCCTCAGCAACATTGCCGTCGACTCGAGCAACCGCGCCAAGTTGGCACAGACCGAAGGCAGGCTGGTTGGCTCCTTGGTCCACCTCATGGAGTCTTCGTCGCCCAAAGTCCAGTGCCAGGCCGCCCTCGCCCTTCGCAACCTTGCTTCTGATGAGCGTTACCAGCTTGAGATTGTGCGCGCTCGTGGTCTGCCGTCTCTTCTCCGTCTCCTCCAATCCTCGTACCTCCCGCTTATTCTATCCGCCGTCGCATGCATACGAAACATCTCCATCCACCCCGCCAATGAGTCACCCATTATTGAAGCCGGTTTCCTTAAGCCCCTCGTAGACCTACTCGGCTCCACCGACAACGACGAGATTCAATGCCACGCTATATCCACACTCCGCAACCTTGCTGCTAGCTCTGACAAGAACAAGCAATTGGTCCTCGAGGCTGGTGCTGTGCAAAAGTGCAAATCCCTCGTACTGAACGTGCGACTCCCAGTGCAGTCAGAAATGACTGCGGCCATTGCTGTGCTTGCACTAAGTGAGGAGCTAAAACCTCACCTGCTGAACCTGGGCGTCTTTGACGTCCTCATCCCACTCACAGAATCTGAAAGCATCGAGGTGCAGGGCAACAGCGCCGCTGCATTGGGCAACTTGTCGTCAAAGGGTAAGTCTGAATGTGTCTTTGTTCTGCCAGCCACTAACAGAAGCAGTGGGCGATTACTCGATTTTCATCCAAAACTGGACGGAACCCGCCGGCGGAATCCATGGTTACCTGCGCCGTTTCCTCGCTAGCGGCGACCCAACGTTCCAGCACATTGCCATCTGGACACTCCTACAATTACTCGAATCCGAAGACTCAAGATTGATGGAGCTCATAAGCAAGTCGAACGAAATCATCGATATGGTCACGGAAATTGCCGAACGCAACATCGAGTCGGACGACGAAGACAACGAGGACGGCGAGGGCGAGGTCGTGACCCTTGCACGCAGGTGTCTTGAGCTCCTGGGCAAGAGCCCCAAGACATTTGTCGAAGGATAGAAGACCGTCAGATCGCATTTTATACCCTGTTTATCGGTTGTCGACTGCTTTTTGCGCTCTTGCTCTCACCGCCGTATTCGATTTTTCTGATTATGCGTTCATGTTGAAGACTGCTTCCAGGCATTAGGAGGGTTGGCGTTCAGGAGCAGATGTATCCTCAGTATCTCTAGCGAGCATTGGCGGAGTGGGCTTTTACATACATTGGCATGCACACATGTTACCACTACTCTTACTCCCCCACACCGACGAGAAAAAGAAATTTGTAATTGATAGATTTGAAGCTTCTTGGGCATCGTGGAAATGAAACAGACGGTGTTCGTTTTTTCTTTCGATTCCACGACCCTGGCCGACGTGATTTCGCCCAATGCCCATGTTATGCATGGGTGATATATAGGTAGTCCAACGGTGATCCTGATCCAAATACATAAAAACCCTGGGTACAAATGCAACCATTGTAATTGGCCGAGTCGAACATTCCAGCGGAAAGCCCTTGCTACGTCCGCCCCTCACTCTGACATGTGACGTCGCGTTACTTGGGCTAAGGTCGGATCGGCATTACCTTATCGATAGCCAAAATATTTGCGACTTTCCCGAGTCACGCTCCACTTGCTTCCCTCAAAACAACCACCACAGCGATGCCGCCCAAACCAAGAGGAAGCGGGACCACACGCTCCCGCGGCGGCGCAAGGGGAGGATCAGTCGTAGCAAGAAATTCAACAGACGCAACCGAATCTGTGCAAGATGCGACCCCGCAGAGTACAGCTCCTGCAGCTGCCACAGGAGATTCGATTGAGCCAGTAATCCCAAAGGAAGAGGATACCGACTCGAAGCCCGTCGTAACTGAAGAGGGCGCGCTGAATGCAACCGAATCAAAAGCTTCATCTTCAGCGACAGCATCGTATGAACGCTCTCTTTCACGTACGACGCCTGTGGTGCTGATGACTATGCGATAGTGCTGCCGAATCGCCCCAGCCTGGCGCAGAACCGAGCGCTCGCGCCCCCGTACAGAGGCTAGGCAGTTTGCAAGGCTCAGTACCTCCTTCCCGATCCGCATCACCATCTGTTCGCGGCCGCGGCGGTACAGCTCGAGGCAAGAGAGGTGTCAAGACGCCCGCGTTCACAGGTAGACGAAGCAAAGAAGAGCGAGACGCCATCGCAAAAGAGCAGGCAGCCCGCGACCGGGAACGGACAAAGGAACAGGTCGCTGCAGACAAGAAGAGAGAGGCCGACGCATTGAGAGCAGCTAGGCGTGAAGCGAACAAACAGAAGAACGCACGAGGTGGATTCAGTGGAGTCGCCAGCGGGCCATTCTCGCTCGGAAGCTCTAGAGAAGGCACGTCGATTTGTTTCGAATACAAGCAACTGCGCTGACTGTGGCTTTAGACAGGAAGAACAATCCAAATCGTGGACACTCTGGTTTTGGCGCAGGATCCGGCTCACGAGCAGAACGCATCAAGAACGAAGATGGCGGTTACGCAGGCTCAAGTCGGTCTGGAGGCGGAAGTGGGGGCGGAGGCAGCTCTTACATGAAAAGAGAAGATGGCGGAATGGTTTCCTCGGATGATGAAGACGATATTAACCTGCCACGTAAAGACATTGACCTGATCGAGATATCTTCTGACGAAGACGAAGCCAAGGACAAAAGTGTGCCGACACAACGTCCCACAAGGACAGCATTGCCTGTTCGAATAGGACGGAAAGAACACCAAGAGCGAACATTTGGCATAAACACAGAAGCCAGCTCGGAGGCGTCTGCTAAGATACTTGAACAAGCGGAATCGAGCGGACAGTCGCTGGCTACGGCTGCCACCGACCAAGCTGGCCGAAGATCAAAAGCCAAGTCAAAGGATGTGGAGATTACCGGCTCTCGCAAGCAGTTCAAGGGTGTTTGGAATGACCCAGAAGATTCCGACATTGCTGTCAAGACGGAACCCACCAGCGACGACGAGAACATGGCTGATGCTGAACAAGTTGGCTTGTCCAACGCTCCAGCTCAGCCAGCGGAGAAGGAAGAGCCACAATCACCGGACGCTGAACGCAAGCCGAAAATCAAAAGGAAGAGTATCGCCGAACCCATCCTCCAGACTGACGAAGACCGTGCAGAATGGGCGCGTTTTCAGTCAAACTTGCGCCACATTCGAGCTGAGCTGGGTCCCGAAGAGGTGCCGTCTGTTGACGGGACAGGGGACGTAGCCATGGCAGACGCCGGCAGTGCAGAGAAAAGACCCACAGTGCGAGATAACAATGTTTATCTCTTCCAGATCCCACCTCTGATGCCAGAAGTGGAACCGCTGTCTGTCAAAAAAGAGGCTTCAGACGCCCAACCCCCTCCACCACCCGTCCAGGCTTCAGGCAAAGCGGATGCGAAGATCAAGGTCGAGGAAGGAAGTTTTTCAGATCCTAATGCCAAGGCCAAGGAAGGGGTCCGCTTTGGGAGTGGACTGGTGGGCAAACTGCGCGTACACAAGTCTGGCCGCACAACACTGGACTGGGGCGGCACGAGCTTTGAGCTGACGCCGGGAAACAGATCAAGCTTCTTACAAGAAGTAGCTAGTGTCGAGATCCGGCCAGAGAACCAGAGAGCAGCGCCCGAGGATGCAGGGGATGCAATTAGTCTTGGCAGGGTCAAGGGCAAGTTTGTGGTGGTTCCCAACTGGGCGAAGATGCTGGACTAGTGCATGGAGAAGGTGTTGTCCAAGTATACGGTGTTTCCCGTGGTGTTTTAGCTCATCAACAAGGTTAGGGCTGAAACGACACAAGTCTTGTAGCGTTGCTGTCAGAGTACAGTGAAGCAGTGCCTTTGAAAGAGGCTGCGCTAAGCTCCACCCGTATAGTTGTCGTTGGTGCGTGGCAGTCCGGCAAGCATCGCGGTGTGCAATTGCAATCTGCAAGCGTTTTCTGTCGGCCCGTTGAGCTGCGCATGCCCACGTGAATATGACACATTTTGAACTTGTACAACACTTGGTTCTCGCCATTCCTTCGACTCTGTTTCGAGTTCGCCAGCGCCTACGAGCTAGACTGATGAATACAGGATCAGAGTATATACACACCATTCCCAGGACCGAGCCAAGTACGTGACACGAGGGCAGAGCAGCCGCGGCGTGCGACGAGAGCGGTGGTAGGGGGGGGAGAGTTCAGTGCAGGTGGCACGTGCATGGGATCGAGATTCGAACGTCGTGGGCAAATGCCATGTTGAAAGCTGAAAAGGCCAGTGCGGCCACAATCGAGCCCCCGCGCATTAGCCCCTCGGCAGGAATGCCGGTGCAGGTTGTGGTAGGCGATTTGCAGCGTAAATCACCCTGGCCAGCCGCCTAGCTCGTCCTGCTCCCTGTTAACTGTCACTAACTGCTCTTTTTGCGTCCGCATCTCAAGGGTGCCGTTCATCGATGCAAAGCCCTCCCAGACGGGGCATGCACCCACCATCGCCTTTGCAACAACCACTCCTGGTGCACATCCCACGCCCCCCAGCGCCCGTCTCGGGCCTCCCTGTTCCTCCGCGGTCCAACCACGGCGTTATCCACGCAGATCCGCCATGGGGGATGTGGATATCCGTCAGCTCTTCGACAGCGACCCTCGACCAACTTTTGTTGTTGACTGCGACTCCCCTTTATCCGCCATCTACCATGTCAATATCGCCTTGCTTGCTATCCCACAAATCGCCCTGTCGCTTGGTTCGCACAACGCGCTGAGAGACTGGTGGGATCCTGTGAGCCTCAGTTCCGCTCGCCACCAAAACGAGTTCCGCCATGGTAGGTACCGGTGGGCCAAGTTCGTCGTCTGCCGTCGCTGGCTCGTCGTTACCATTGTTCAGCAGCCGCCTCCTTCGCTTGAGCAACCAAGCTGCTTTTCAGAGCCTGCCAGGCTATCTCGCATCGTCTCCCCTCTCTGGGGATCCCAGCCGGATACCATCTTCACTGTCAAAATCCAGTCGCCAGAGTTACGCCAACACATTGAACGCATCCGCAAAGTTGACTGGTCAAAGACATCTCTAGGCCCTATTAGCAACTGGGGATATGAACTCAACCTACTCGTGACGACTTTGATGCTGGAAACCCGCCCAACCGCCCTCTTCCTCGGACCTGAGCGGACCGTCTTGTACAACCTCGCTTATGGCGCCGTCAGTGGGTCGAGACACCCTGCCATACTGGGCCAGAGTATCCTAGATGCATGGTGTGTTGGACACCATGACCCGGGATCAAGCTTTTCTGACAACCCAATAGGCCTGAGCTTGCAGATCCCATCTCGACAACCATGGACCGCTCAGAATCAACACGCTTTGCCGATGTTCCTGAAGAGGAATTTCACTTCATGGTCGAAAGAAATGGTTTTGTTGAAGAGGTCTTCTTCATGTGGAGCCTCGTCCCTCTTGTCGGTGTCGGCGACATTACCGGCATGTATTCTATCGTGACAGAGGTCACAAAACAGAGGTAACCACCTCGTATTCTTCGCCAAAATAAAACATCATCATTAATCATACCGATTCAGGTTGCTCGAGCGTCGCGTCAATGCTTTGTTAAGGGTGGGCCAGTTGGCCAGCAAAGCAAGAACAACGAAAGAGTTTTGGGCTCAGGTAGGCCAAGCTATTCAGCCATCTGAGTATGACTTTCCGACCGCCATTTTGTACTCAAATTCTGAGTTGAATGAGGTACCAGACGCTGCAGGTGTTAAGACTGGACTACCACGTAGATGCACTCTGCAATGGACCATCGGATATAAACCCGACCACTCTGACATACCTCAGCATCTAGACCTAGACCAGGATACTGGCTTGGCTCGCGCTTTTTCCGCCAGTATAAGAGACGGACCTGAAGTACTATATGAGGAACAGGATGGTATACTACCAACGTCATTGTACACCGATCTCGAAAAGCGCGGTTTTGGAGACCCACTAAAAGTATTCCTTGTTCTGCCAATACGGACTTACGACGACAACATTGTAGCATTCCTTCTTATCGGGCTTAATACTCGTCGGCCATATGATGATGAGTACAAGGATTGGATCAGTGTCTTTTCCAACTTGCTGGGAGCTTCTGCTGCACTAGTGGCACTTCACGAAGAGGAGGTACGAAGACGCAAACTGCAAGAAGAACAATCCGCCCGAGATCGCGAAGCCCTTAATGCTGAAGTTGCAACTCTTGCACAAGAAGCTAGTAATGCTGTGGAAAAACTTCGCAACTTCCATGAGATTGCAGACCAACTCGGACTAGGATACTTTGAGATTGGTGTTGATGGGATGCTGGTACATGCTAATGTAAGGTTCCGAATTGCAGCCCGTCAACATCGGCTGATGCGACAACAGGAAACATACTTTGTTCAAACTGGGCACCAGAGAGACTTTTCGAGTTGCCCACCTTTTACCTTCAAGCAATGTATTCACGAAGATGATATAGCCACAATCGAGGATCGATGGGAGAGTCTGATAGCGGGAGAACCGGCTACATTTGAGGTTCGTTGGAAGAGACACTTGAATCAAGAAAAAGGAGACAAGAAGACTAGTGACGACTATCTTTGGACACTCTCGGCTTGTGTGCCTATCAAAAACGCGGACGGGATTGTTACTGGTGTCTTTGGCTGCAACACCGACATTTCTGCCCAGAAAGAGGCGACCGAAGCTGCCATCATGCGCTCAGAGGCAGAGCGGCGCTTAGCCAGTTTCACCGAGCTGGCACCAGTCGGTCTATATCACCTGAACGAGGATCTGTCAATGAGGTACTGCAACGACCAGTGGTTTCGTATCACCGGCCATGACAAAGTACCCATGGATCAAGTAGACTGGCGAAATATCGTCGACGAAGACCGGATCGAGGCTTGCTATCGCGACGTAGACATGACCAGATACAAGGAAGGTTCACATACTTTTTCAACCCATCTCAAGAAACAATGGACGGGACCAGATGGAGTCACAACATCAACCTGGATCCTCGTAACAGCCACTGCCTATACAGATGGCACCATCATGGGGACAATGACGGACATTTCGCAGCTGAAGTGGGCCGAGTCGATTCAAAAGACCAGAGTGGAAGAAGCGCTTGAGTCGAAGAGGCAGCAAGAAAACTTTATTGACATGACCAGTCATGAGGCAAGTGACTCTCACAGAATTTATGTGCATAGAAAACTGACTGTCACCGATATAGATGCGCAATCCACTGAGCGCAATGGTACAGTGTGCTGACTCTATCATGGGCTCACTGGGCGAGATGAAAGCTCTCGTGCAAAACGAAGCACTCGCTGCACAGCCCGACCAACGAGCACAGCTAGAAGACTTCATTGATAGCAGTCTAGACGCTATCGATACGATACAGGCATGCGCCACACATCAAAAACGGATTGTTGACGATATCCTTACTCTCTCAAAGCTCGACTCGAAGCTTCTAGTCATCAGCCCTCTAGTGCTGCAACCCGCGACGCTTTTACAAGACGCATACAAAATGTTCAAAGACGAAGCTAACAAGGTTGGTGTCGAGCTCGAAGTGCGGTGTGACCCGTCCATTGAGGAAATGGAGATTGACTGGGCAGTCTTGGATCCGAGCCGCGTTCTTCAGATTCTCATCAATCTACTGACCAACGCAATCAAGTTCACAAAGGACCAAGAGACACGCAAGGTCGAAGTCATTATGGGTGCTTCTCGGGAGGCAGAAAAATTGCCAGAGATCGAGTATGTGCCACAAGAAGCCTTACGAAGCGATTTCCTTTCTCAAGCTGAGGACGATCATGCTGGCGAAGTGTTCTACCTCAACTTCACAGTCAGGGACAGTGGATGTGGGCTTTCGCCTGAGCACAAGGCCAAACTCTTTCTTCGATTTTCGCAGGCCACACCAAAGACACATGTCCAGGTACTACTCTGTCACACATCCTTTGCCGTTCGTATCAGTAGACTAATAACCACTCTAGTATGGCGGGACAGGCCTTGGTCTCTTTATATCCCGGGAACTCACCGAACTGCAAGGTGGCAGCATTGGTGTGGCCTCTGACCAGAACATTGGATCTACATTTTCCTTTTACATCAAATCACGGCGTGCAACACCACCTCGAGACAAACGTACGACTATAGACGTAAACCCTACTCTTAACGGCGAGTCGTCGACGGGCACCAACGTCGAAATTATTGGAGACATGAATGGCAACCATGAGGCTGTAGTGGTCGATGGTCTCTCGTTGCCAGAAGTGGAAGAAGTTATGGAAGTAGAGAAACAGCATTACAACATCCTGGTTGTAGAAGACAATCTGATTAACCAGCGGGTTTTATCCGCGCAACTAAAGAAACTAGGCCACACGGTGCACGTTGCAAACCACGGCGTCGAGGCCCTGCGTCATTTATCACAAACGCCATTTTCAGCTACGCCTAGTGCTTCGCCCTCGGTGCCTCTCAGCGTGGTGCTCATGGACATTGAAATGCCCGTCATGGACGGACTGACGTGTACACGGAGGATCCGAGAGATGGAGGCACAAGGCGAGCTGAGTGGACATGTGCCGATTATTGCAGTCAGCGCCAACGCGAGACGAGAACAGGTGGAATTGGCCAAGAGCGCGGGTGTGGATGGCGCAATATGCAAGCCTTTCCGGGTTCCCGAGTTGATAGGCTTAATTGAAGGGCTGGGCATTAAGTAAGAGTGGCTGATGCTCAAAGGCAGAGCAAGGGACGCGATGGGAGGCACAGGCGCAGGCAGCATGGACACCATCGTAGTTCCTGGGCTAGACAATGAATGTAATAGAGATTCAAGAAAACGTCCGGGCCCCCGCGTCTTGAGACGCGTCCGAGCACGCGTCGTCTGGTCAACTGCAGGTCGTGGGGACTGGGTAGTGACGCCATGGAAACCTTCAGCAGATCTCGAGGGTGTGTGCGCAATGTAGGGGGCTCGAAATGGATCAAAGACAAAGTGGAAGTGGGAGCCAGCCACTTAACGCGTCGAGCAACGCGTCGTGCCTGGCGATACGTCGCCGGAATGTCATGGTCAGCCATTGTCAGATTCTCATCAGCGAAAAATCTTATCTGATCCGAGGCCTGAACGAGCCAAAAGACCATTGTGCAGCCAGTGCGGACTAGCAGACGGCCTAATTGTGGTTTCAAATGCATTTCCAAGACTGATATCAGCCGCCAGGCCCCAGAGCCTAGCTGCTCACGGAAACGGCCCTTGCATGTTGTGGTGGGGACAGGTCGAATCGTAGCGCGTTGCGACGCGTCTGGGTTTTGGCACAGGCTGTGGCTGGGTACGCAGCTGAGCGACCATTTTGCAATTCCTACACGCCTGGGGAGGAGGAACATGGACAATATGGGTGTCTTTGGATTGCATGCAGGCACAATGTTGCGCATATCTACTTGATTGCTCTACTTTTGTGGTGGAAAGGCTGGAAAAAGCATAATGATGGGGATTGCGAACGCATGAGCTCATAGCGCACTTTTCGCGTCGAGGGGGCACTAGCGGCCGCAAGCGCGATCGCCCTGTCACGTGCTCGCGAGTGAACGCGGATTTATAGAGTGAGCGCGTCTCTTCTCTGTCCCTCTCTACACTACAACCCACCACCACTTCTTACAAGCACATCCACTTGTCTTGTCTTCTCTACGCCTGTGTCCTTCTACACTCGACCCAGCGCATTATTACCAACTTTTTTTCTTCGCCTCACACACAATGTCTGCTATCCAGTCTACACCTTCCAAGCAGGTACGTCACGGTACATGCGGGACATGTACTTCCACGCGACGCGTCCATACTAACGCGTCATACAGGTGGCATCTGCAATTGAGTCTCTCAAGATGACCAACTCACCCGCAAAGACACTCGACTTCTCGGACTCGGACAAGGAAAATGTTTTCAAACCCATTGTCGGCATTCCAGATGATTTCGACGCCAACGCCGAGGACGTCAAGCCTACAGTCGCGTCTACCATTAAGGCTGAGGAGGCACATGAGCCCCTCCTTCAAGAGAACCCAGGACGCTTTGTCCTTTTCCCCATCAAGTACCACGATGTAAGTTTTTCCACTTTACGCGTCTAGTGGCGCGTCAATCAAGTCTCCACCATGACTCATGCTAATTGATTTCTCATAGGTCTGGCAAATGTACAAGAAGGCCGAGGCTTCTTTCTGGACAGCCGAAGAGATTGACCTTTCCAAGGATCTCCACGACTGGAACAAGCGCCTCAACGACGACGAGCGCTTCTTCATCTCCCACGTCCTCGCCTTCTTCGCCGCCTCCGATGGCATCGTCAACGAGAACCTGGTCGAGCGTTTCTCGAGCGAAGTACAAATCCCCGAGGCACGATGCTTCTACGGCTTCCAGATCATGATGGAGAATGTCCACTCCGAGACCTACTCTCTGCTCATCGACACATACATTAGCGAGCCAAGGCAGCGCCAGTACCTTTTCAACGCCATTGACAACAGTAAGTTGCCCCACAACGCGCTTGAATTACGCGTCTAACCTGTCATAGTTCCCTGCATCCGCAAGAAGGCCGACTGGGCTCTGCGATGGATCTCTGACAAGAACTCCACCTTTGCCAACCGTCTCGTCGCATTCGCTGCAGTCGAGGGTATCTTCTTCAGTGGATCATTCGCATCCATCTTCTGGCTCAAGAAGCGTGGCCTGATGCCTGGTCTTACCTTTTCCAACGAGCTCATCTCTCGTGATGAGGGCATGCACACCGACTTCGCCTGTCTGTTGTTCTCTCTTCTCAACACCCGCCCTAGCAAGGAGTCTGTCCAGGCCATCATCACCGAGGCTGTTGCCATTGAGCAAGAGTTCCTTAGCGACGCCCTGCCATGCGCCCTGCTCGGCATGAACGCCAAGCTCATGTGCCAATACATTGAGTTCGTTGCTGACCGTCTGCTCCTTGCTTTGGGCAACACCAAGGTCTACCACGCCACGAACCCCTTTGACTTCATGGAGAACATCTCGCTTGCCGGCAAGACCAACTTCTTCGAGAAGCGTGTCGGTGACTACCAGAAGGCTGGTGTCATGGCCAGCACAAAGAAGCACGAGCAGAAGGAGGGCTCACCCGCACCTGAGCCTCAAGGCCAGTCTGGTGACTTCTGCTTCGACGAGGACTTTTAGACGCCTCACTTTGTTTCCTTGCCATGTTTCCACTATTTAATTCCTGTATACCACCCTGGACGCTGGTGCCGGACATCATCTGTCTGCATCCTTCTGGTCTTTGCATTGCTGGAGTCTCCGATACTCCTTGGACATTGGCGTCATGGCGTAGATGATTTTTTGAGCAACTCTGGATGAGCGACGCGGCTGGGTATGGACTTTTGCACGCGATGGATCAACGACCTATATCCCCCACTGAATAATTATGAATACAATATATCAATCCATGAAACCTTGCGTCAATCGTGATGATCACTCGTTTCTTTTTAATGACTATTCCTGGCAGTCCGCGTGGCTTTGGACCCACGAGGCCGGACAGCCTTGGCGTGCTTGATCTCACGCAAGCTTCGGGTGAACTACGACCATCGGGCCTACCGGTCTCCGCGGTGCATATCGTCTCAACATGGCAGATCCGCCATCCTTCACTCTCCGCCCGCTACTCGTCCCTTGGTTTTTCATATGAGCGAATCCAAGGTTCAATTCACATGACGTCACCCATCCATGTGGCGTTATCGTGCCGAGGCTATCGTGATCCAAATCAGTACAAGTCGCCTGCAGGAAGTTTCGCGGCGCGCCCAGCCTATCATTCGGAACTTCACTTAAAGACCCATTCGCCTCGGACAAAATCTCCAGGCATGTCATTTCCAGCCGCGCGGCACGATTGCAGAGGGCCGGATATGATATGCATGACAGCAGCCGCCAACTACTAGGTTGTCAATATCCGCATCCGTGACCCTCCGCAAAAGACGACCCTGAGAAAGTCTGGGCCTTAACGCCTCTGGAATCTTCGCTTACTGTTCCTGCGCATCCAACGCATTGCCCGAGTACAGCTCACCTGTATTCCTTAGGCCAACACATACCTTGTGTGTTGTATGTACTTTGCAGTCTCTTATATCAAAGCCCGCGTAGATTCATGTCGCACTGTCACATGTACCCATGGCCGATGCAATCCCCAAGATCATCACCACGCCTGCCGGTCGAAGCGCCGCTCTCCAGAGGCAGGAAACCACATCCTCGACCACGATTGACGGTAACTCTTCACACCTCGCTATTTGGGGAGTCGAATCACTAACACTGAAGTCCCGCGATAGTGCCTTTGTCCAACAAGAAACTTGTAGCAAAGCTGAGAAGCCCTACAGCATCGCCTGCGCAGCAACACAATGAGGCGCAACAAAATGGAGGAAGCTTGGGGAGTGCGATAGGATTGTCGGAAACGCCCTTGGACCCGCTCTCGCAAGTATGTCTTTGAGCATTGCCTTTGCGCCGACGCGGAATACTACTAATGCAGTGGTGTTTAGCAAATCTTCAATAGAACAAATACGTCACCGGCGGCTCAGAAGCTTCGGTCGCAGAACTCGGAACCCGTCGCAAGTCAATTACCGAGAGAGTCGAATGATATAAGCATGGATAAGGTTAGTGGTGAGACAGCTCGCGGCGCTGGTGGGAATAAGGCCGACAAGAAGTAAGTGCTTGCGAGTACGAGGTAAGGCGACCGATAAACGAGACTGACGACTTTTCTAGAAGAGTATCGTTTCTTAGTCGCTTTATGGGCAGCACCAAGAAAAAGAGCAGCCCGGACGGTATTAGCGACAATGGCTCCGAACCAGACGACCCACGCCACGAGGGTATGAATGCCCAGCTCTATGTCAACAACCTCAGTTTCAGTCCAAAGACCCCGCATCCCCCGGCATACATCAAAGTGAGAGCAAAGTTCAAGAAGGAGAAGGAGTTTGATCGCGTCTTTCTCGCGCAAGAGCTACGATCTGGGTCGGGAAGGAAAAGTCCGCCGGCTGCTGGATCAAACCCTGCACCGCAATCCGGATCCGCCGCTACACATAATCCAATCTGGGCCGTTGAATTCAGCAAGGATGGAAGATATCTTGCTGTAGGTGGACAGGATCGGGTGATTAGGGTATGGGCCGTGATAGACAGCCCAGAGCGACGTCGAGCGCACGAAAACACTGAAAGAGATCGACATGCGCATCATGAGGAGGCCAAGCACCTCAGTGCGCCGGTGTTTGAGCAGAAGCCAATTCGTGAATACCAAGGACATACGTCGACTATCTTGGATTTGAGCTGGAGTAAGGTATGTTGTAGGGTGATGAACTTTCAAGATAGTGTTACTAACAAACAAAAGAATAATTTCCTCTTATCTTCATCAATGGACAAGACTGTTCGTCTGTGGCATGTAAGCCGCGACGACAACTTGTGCACGTTCAAACATTCCGACTTTGTGCCTTCGATACAGTTTCATCCGACCGATGATCGATTTTTCCTTGCTGGATCCTTGGACGCGAAATTACGGCTTTGGAGTATTCCAGATAAAAGCGTTGCGTTTTCGACTACAGCTCCAGACATGATTACATCAGTCGCTTTTACACCTGACGGAAAGACGTGTATGGCGGGCACGCTTGGTGGGCTTTGCCTATTCTACGATACTGAGGGCCTAAAGTGGCAGGCGCAACTCCATGTCAAATCGACCAGAGGTCAGAATGCAAAGGGCAGTAAAATTACAGGGATTCAGGCAACGTATTGGCCACCGGGTAGCGAAGATGGTGAAGTCAAATTGCTGGTGTCGAGTAATGATTCAAGACTGCGGATATACAATATGAAGGACAAGACGCTGGAGATGAAGTTTCGCGGCCATCAAAACATGTGCAGCCAAATCCGAGCAACTTTCGCTGATGGCACCGGGCACATTGTGTGCGGAAGTGAGGACCGTAAGACGTACATTTGGTCGACATCCGCGCTGGAAGGCGGCGAGAAGAGGGACCAGCGGCCAATGGAAATGTTCGAAGCCCACAATTCTATCACTACTTGCGCGATCATCGCACCCATGCAGACAAGACGGCTTCTGAGCGCGTCAGAAGACCCAATCTTTGACCTTTGTAATCCACCACCGGTTACCTTGGTTTCAAAAGCGGAATCTGTAGTATCATCGCGAGCGCCTACGGAGACGGGATCAGCACATCTGATACCTGGACCTACAGACACGCAGTTCAAGAAGGCGGCGGGAAGTCCGGCATATATCGCGCGCTCTGCGCATCGCGGAGGCAACATTATTGTCACAGCCGACTATACTGGTGCTCTCAAGGTGTTTCGACAGGACTGCGCGTTCCAGAAGCGTATACGGCAAAGTGAGCAGTGGGACAGTACTCTAATGAAACGAGCATCCGTCATCGGCCGCCCAAGCAGCATAATCTCACGCACCAGCCGGTCTCGACGAGATAGCGTATCCACGCAGCCACCCAACGACCGCATCATGACCTGGCGCCAAGACATCACCCACGGCAGCATCGACTCCGGCACCTCGCTCTCCATCCGCAGCGCCTCCCCCCGCAAATCCCTCGCAGCCCTAAACCTCAACGCCTCCCCCTCCTCGCGCTCCCACTCCCCCATCCTCCGCCCCACAAAAACAAACGACTCCCACGATATACCACGTCCAACAGACACCCCTGGTACCTCGTCCTCCCGCGATCCCAGCACTCCCCCTATATACAGCACCACCCACTCCTCCACCTCCTCCCTACACAAACACCCTGAAAAACTCTCCCCGGACTCCCTCCTCCATCCTTCTTCTCTTCCTCCTCCTCCTCCTTCTCACCCTCCTCACCCTCCGGCCAGAAACGACATCGACACATCAACTTCGAACCCCCTCCTCCAACTCTCAGACCCAATTTCTAACCCTCTGGCTCTGCTCAACGGCCAGTCTTGGCTCTTCTGGACTAGCAATGCCAAGAAACCTATGGGTGCACCGGCGAGTTCCCGTCCGGATTTGCTGGGGCGCACGAGTTCGACGAGTCAGGTTAGTAGGCTTACGGATGAGGGGAGTGAAGGGGGTGAGTTTGAGGAGGGAGAGCGGAGGGGGAGGTAGACGAGATGGGGTTGAGTATGGCGGGCAGTTTGGAGGGTATTATTTGGTTGTTTTTTTTCGTCTTTTGGGGTTTCCTTTTTGCAAGGTGAGGGGTTCTGGGTAAAGGTGTTTAGGGTGGGATTCGTATAGATATGTGGGATGCAGTGGAATGAATATTCTTTTTTTTTGATTGATTATTTGAAGTGTGCTTTTGTATCAGTCAATAGACACTATTATCTACGAGGGAAAAAAACACATCTGGCGCTTACTAGATCTCGTTATCAGATGAGGTGCGTACAATATCCGTCTAACTAGCCGAAGGAAAAAAAATCTGCGTCCCACGTGCCGCATGATATTGATGTTGTAGAATTGCGGGCGACTCGGACTTGCAACAAAAAAGTGGAGTATTATATGCCTGACAACGGGCAAAAAAGATGACCTAACCAGGGGTCGAACCTGGAATCTCTTGATGTCGAATGAATCGTAGTCAAGCGCCTTGCCATTGGGCCATTAGGCCGATTGTTTTCAATCGATGGAAGAAATAGTATTTGATTAATTGATATCCATTGACAGATACACACAGAATTGAGACGTGCACCCAGTAAGTTTCCAAATGTAACGTCTTTCGATACTGAGAAAACTTTTCCCCAAAACAATCATCCCACATAAATCGGCCTTGTGGAGTCACAAACCTCGTTCAGCCCGCCCTTAGCCCGATCGTCACTAGCGTCTCTCAGACCTCTGTCCATCTCCCCGGTTGGTCGGTCAGTCGGTCGCGCGCCAGCAAACAACGCTGCTAACTACTGCATCGTACGCGCTCAACACCATCTCACTCTTGCTTAAAATCTTCGCGTGAATAAAAGAATCCAAACATCCAGGATAACGGAGAGCCACCGGCGGAAGGAAAAAACCCCCCGTTAGGTTTTTTTTGCTTGAAGAGAAAAAAAAAGAGATGGAAGCAGAAGCGGACGGTGTGGCGGAGAAAGTGCAATCGCTGAGTGACCTGGAGCTCGCGTTGCTGATATGTCTTGTCGCGGAGCAGAATTGCGTTATCGAGTGTGAAGTTGAGAGTTTGCGGGGGGTGCAGGTGGAACTTGAGCTTGTTGGTTTATCCCTCTTCCTTGACGAATGCGTGGGTGGAGGAAGGAGGAAAGATGGATTAGAAGGGGGAATGTGTTCGGAGCTGACTGAGGTATAGGTGGCAGCCAAGGTTTTTGGGCTTGCGTGTGCGGTGTTGGAGTGCGAGGAGGGGATGTCGCTGGATGAGTTTGGGAGGGGCATTTTAGTGGGGGGTGAAGAAGAGGAGGATGAGGGACGCATTGCGAATGTGGTTGTTGCAAGGGAGTTGAATCGGGCGAGTGAGCAGGTGCAGATTCAGGCTTTGGAGGTGAGGTTAAGTTCGGTGTGTGCGGTGTTGGGCATGGTTTTGCTAATGGTGGAGTAGCTTATACGCGGAAAGAGGAATTTCACGAGGACGGCGGTGCATGCGGCGCCGAAGCCGTTTTTGTTCATTGCGTTGAATGCGGCGGATAGTCCGAGGTTGACTATGCATTTGGTAGGTTGTGGTTGGAGTCTTTCAAGGGTTTGCGCTGACGTGGCTGCAGAACGATCAGTTTTTCATTTCGCATAGGCATCAAGCCGAAGATGGACTGCCGAATCTTGAGGAGTTGCAAGAGAAGGAACGCGGTTTTGATGATGGCGCTTCGATGTCTTCGGTGGTGCGTACGGTTCCGTTCATGGCAGTGAAACCGAAACCGCAGAGTGCATTGTTCACATCAGAAGTAAGTCTCTTGGGACGAGTACTTGACGATAACTAACAGTTTCAGGATCTCGCCAATCTGGCAAAGCTTACAGCTGGAGTCAAGATTAGCTCAGAAGTGCGGGCATATCTATACAATATCGTCGTCTTTATGAGGCTACATCGTGCAGTTGCAGGAGGAGTGTCAGCACTAGCTACAAGACACTTTAGCATGTTGGCCCAGTAAGTTGAGTGTTGCTTGAGACGAATGAAGCTGATTGTGCTAGTACACTTGCCCCGCTCCATGGCTTGGACTACATGTCTCCGTCCATGGTTGCGCTGGCCGCTCGCAAGATATACCCACATCGCATCGTCATCACTGCGCCGGAGAACGAACGCAGTATGCAATGGGGTAGCTCTTTGGAGGCGGTGAAAGCAGTGCTGGAAGGTGTCACACCCGAGGACGTGATCGAGGAAGTGCTCGAGTCGGTTGAGGTACCACTGTAGCAGTGCCACTAGGCACGAGCTGAGTAAGTATGTGTGTTGCTCATCTCATCGGGGCGTGGTGGGTGTGATTGGCAGCTGGCGGGGTCGCAGGGCCTGCCCCTCGCAAAGTGGGACCGTGGCGGAGCGTTGATTCATGCAGCCGCCTCGACGTCAATTGCGCACAGGGTACCAGCGAACAGACTACAAAACGCCGGCGGTACCTCGCAATTTTGGGACTGTTCTGCTGCCCTTTTGCGCGCTTCCACAATTACAATGGCAACTACCTACTTCGACCAGCTGAGTCCGGGCGTCCAGGGCGCAATCGAGGTACCTGACGCCCACCAGACGTCATAGCCATGCGCTTATACTAACTTCCTTATTGAGAGCGAGCTTGGGGACCAAGATTCCAAGAGTATCGCCAGCGTAAATAGCCATGATGATGCCTTGGAGGTGCGCATTGAGTTGTTTCTCGCTTTTTTCTCTTTGACTTTCGCTCACAAACACCGACAGGTGGTTTTCGAAGGCGGATATAACGGCCACCGCCGCAAAGCTTCACTCGCACCCCACCCTTCGGGCAAGATGACGTCGCGTCCGGAAAATGAGCGCCGCACCACCGCGTGTATTGTTCACTCACTTCTCGAGAAACATGAGGGCCTGCCTGTCAAGGACCATTCGCAGTCGTATGAAGGCCTGGCCCAGGAGCGGCGCGTCGACAAGGATGCGCTCAAAGAGCACACTCATGAGCGAGAGCACTCGCGGCTGTTGACCAAGAAGGAGCTGTCGGACATGGCTTTTGGCATCCGGGAACTTTCCAAGAAGTTATCGCAGATCCGCCTGAAGCTGCACGTCAAGAACATTTTCATACTCGGCAAAGCCCACGATGAGGGCCTGATCAAGCATTCGCGTGAGGTTACCGAGTGGTTGCTGACCAAGGACTCGGCATACACGGTGTATGTTTTGGTTTTGCGACACGATGGATAGCACTGACAGGATGTAGCTATGTGGAACAAACGTTGAAGGATAATCACATCTTCAGTGCCAAAGACCTTCTCGACAAGGACGGGTTCAAGGGGCGTCTCAAGTTCTGGACAAATGAGATGTGCGCGCAGAGACCGCAGACCTTTGATATCGTCTTGGCGGTATGACAGCGAAATCGACTCGAAACGTACAGGACTAACAGATTCGCAGCTTGGTGGTGATGGTACAGTATTGTACGCCTCATGGCTCTTCCAGCGCATCGTCCCTCCAACCATTGCCTTTTCACTTGGATCTCTTGGCTTTCTTACCAAATTCGATTTCGAACTATATCCACAATCGCTTTCCCGAGCTTTCGCAGACGGTATAACCGTTAGTCTACGCCTCCGATTCGAAGCTACCATTATGCGGTCTCAAGAGCGTGATCCCAAGGGACGCGATTTGGTCGAGGAACTTATTGGAGAAGAGTCTGAAGACCACCACACGCATTACTCGGATGGAACTCACAATATTTTGAACGAAGTGGTTGTTGATCGAGGGCCAAACCCAACCATGTCGTCCATCGAGTTGTTTGGCGACGACGAGCACTTTACAACAGTCCAGGCTGATGGTATCTGTGTATCCACGCCTACGGGATCTACTGCATACAACCTTGCAGCCGGCGGCTCGCTCTGCCATCCAGACAACCCGGTCGTTCTCGTGACTGCCATATGTGCGCATACGCTGTCATTCCGGCCAATTATCCTACCCGATACCATTGTACTACGCTGTGGTGTGCCCTATGATGCAAGGACAAGCTCTTGGGCTAGTTTCGATGGAAGGGAAAGAGTCGAATTAAAGCCGGGCGATTACGTAACTATTAGTGCCAGTCGTTTCCCTTTCCCGAGTGTGCTGCCGTTGGACAAGAGGCGGACGGATTGGATCGATAGTATATCGAGGACTCTGAACTGGAACAGCAGGCAAAAGCAGAAGGCGTTCAAGGAGTGGAGCTCGGAGAAATAGATGCTGTTGACAAGAGCGATGAGTATTCATGTCTAGAAAACAAGTAGATGGCATCATCTGATCACGGCTATTTACTGTAAATTTCATCATTTGATAGAATAGCCGGTTGATGTAAAATCTTCAGCAAGTGACTCTTGATACCATGCTCGTCTCTAATCTATCCGTTCCTATGATTCTTTTGGCAATACCTGAGGACATGCCGTGCAAAATTAAATTAGATATTATCTCACCTCTCCCACTCAAAAAAAAGAGCTAGTAGTCTTCTAAACAAACAAAGGCCCATACCCCGTCACCTCGCCCCTCTCAACATCCGCCTGCATCGGCTCTTCAAACTCGACTCCATTTGCTGCCTCGCCCTCACTAACCGGCAAAGGCATCTCCCTCCACATCTGCTGAATCCTGCTCGCACTCTTCAGAAACCTGTCCTGCAACCCCACATAATCCTTCGCCGTAAGCTGTCCATTTCGCTTTTGGAACATGCCATTCACCATGACGTGTTTGATATCGCCAACATTCGCGTGGAGCATGATTGCGGCAATGGGATCGGTCCAGCCGAGGACGCTGGGGGCGCGACCGTTCCAGACGAGGATGTCTGCTTTGGCGGCTGGGGCTAGGATGCCAATGTCTGGGCGGCGGAGGGCGAGGCCGCCGTTGCGGGTTGCGAGGAGGAAGGCTTGGTTGACGGACATTGGGTTGCGGGCGGGGAGGTGGCGGCGGTTTACGACTTCTGTGTAGAGAGTTTTTCTTACGCTCTGGAGCCAGAGGCGAGCTTGGGTCAGGATGTCGGAGGAGAAGGTGAAGTGGGTGTCTATGCCTAGGGAGGCTTGGTCCATGATGAGGTGGCTGTTTGGGTGGAGGTGGCCGTAGTGCATTTCTGACTCAGGGGTTGTGGAGATGAAGTGGTTGTGTTGGCGGAGGAGCTGGGCGTCCGTGGGGGTGTGGTAGCTGGCGTGGGCGAAGATGATAGGGATGGAGGCGTTGAGGAAATTGAAGGGTTGGAGGACCGAGGGGAAGTTGGGAGCGCCATAGATGCCGCCGTTGGCGTGGGTGGTTAGTACGGAGACGTTGTGTTCGCTGATACTTGGGTCAGTACTTGTTGGGAGATTCTTGCTTGAGTCCACTCACAGTGCGAGATCGAGGACGTGCCGCGATTCACTCTTGTTGTCGCTACTGAAGTTATCGTAGGAGATACCCAAGTTGGTGGGCGAGTTATGGAATCTTTCGTCCCTGGCCAAGTCTCGGAAAAGCTTCGTTTGCCCTTCAATTGTAAAGTTTGGATAGTTTTCGAAGTAGTACGCAAACTCAGCTCGGACACCGCTTTCAAATGTGGCATTCAGTGCTGCCATGGCATGATCTGCTGACCATGTGCAGTGCGGATAGTCCACGATAGTTGTAACACCTCCATTCAGGGCTTCATACAATCCGACCAACTGCCCAATGTACACATCCTCGGGCGTAAATGATCTAGCAGCAAGCGAGTCGGTGCCATAGCGTTGGAAGTAGGTCATGAGAGTGGTATTGGAGCCTAAGGTCTTGAAGGCCGTCTGCCAGCTGTGACGATGGGTGTCGATAAAACCTGTTGATATGATGTCGTTGGTCGCATCAACGACTTCCAAATCGGAAGGTAGGGTACCATTGTAGGATCCTGAAAAGACAGCGGAGATGGTGTCGTTTTCGACAAGGACAGAACCGTTACGAATGACATTGAGGTAATTGGCGGATGTATCCCAAGAGATTACTGTTCCGCCCTGGAATAGTGTGGCAGCACTACTGAGGGTGGCGTATGTTAGGACATAAAGAAGCCAAGGCCGGAGCACAACGTAACCAGACAGCATTTTGAAGGATCTCAATTGCGACTTGACTCTTTGAATTCAACCGAACCCGGTATCTTATAATGCATTGTATATTCCTCATGCGATGCATAACATCATATCACATCTGCCGATCTGCGAAAACAAGAGTGCTGCAATAGCTGCAGGTGCAGGTCCGATGACGTGAAGCCAAGATGAGTTTGACAAAGAGTTTTGTATACGATCCATCTTTTGTAAAACTCTTCCACTGGCAGAAGATGGTTGCAGAAAATTCTAGTGGAGCTCGGGAAACATGAAAGATGGCAGGCAGTGGAGAGGGAGGACTTGGCAGGCGATGACGCACAGGCCAGGGTTGAGGTGGAGACTAGGCGCTAGGTCACGTGAGTAGTAGGCACTGGATTACGTGAGCAGAGCACAGATTGCTCTCCCTCGGGTATAAATAGAGGGCGTCCCCCAACCTTTATTCCTCATACTTACCTTCTTGCGATGGCCCAGCTCAAGCTTTGGGTCCATCTGATAGTCTCGTCTGCATTGCACAGCGCGGTATGGGACTGTCACGAGCTTCCTTCGGGAATCTCGGCGGGGCAATTTTTGCTGGTCGGCTTTCAAGCTTTTCATTGATCCCATCGCTTTGGCGGTGTTTTGAGGAAGGGCTGCTATTAAGATGCCGAGGGTGAAGTCGTGACTGCTGCTGTTGCGCGTTATGGGGGTTTGCGATGGCGAAATCGTATGTTATATGCTGCAAAAATCGATTCAACAATGGAGGCACACGTGTGCAATGCCCGTATACGTGTCGATAATCTTCGAAGACGATCGTTGACCTTCATTGAATGTACGCGACATGGCCAATTGGGCGCGCCAAGCGAGGCAAATGTACGCGATACGACGCGTCAAGCTGGCGGGACTGCAGACCTTCACACAAACCAACCACTCCAAGGGCCGTCCCCAACTGCACAACGACAGAAACATCCGGCGCCGTGTATTCCTTTTCGCCTCTTCGCCGATGTGTCTCTGCTTCGAACCAGACTTCTTTCGCGAATGACACTCGGACCAACAGCTACAATATCAGACCATGGACAAGAGGCGCAAAAACCAAAGATTGTGTTCATGGACTTATCTTGAGAGACCGTAGAAAAGCTATAGTGAAGAGACATAGCCACATCCAACAGCTTACTGTAGTGTGCACGTCGATATGAGCGAAGCTGTGTATGAAAGCTCCGCGGACCTCGTACATCAACTACGCCATTACTACCCGCGTCAGCACCCAGCATGATGGACACATCTAACATCACAATTACAGTGACAGGTGCATGTACCGTGGCAATTGGCGATTCAGGTAAACAGCACAATTGTATCGTCATAGACTACCAATGGAACCAGAGTCTATGAGAGAACCGACCGCTCACGATGGAAAATGGCCACCGCTTGTGCAAAGCTGTCATCTGATACAGCAATTGACTTGATCTGATAACTGCGGGGTTGCTAAATCCGAACACTCGTCCACTGCACCCACCCACTTCTGCATTGATCCGGTCTCATGGAGGTTGTAAGAATTCGAGCAGGAGTTGTGAAGCCCGTGATCGGGACTTTCGGGGCCGACGTGTGGCAAAATACAAACCATATGCAGTCGTCCTGTCGTAAACACGAGTCTTCTCCAATCTCAACTTGGGTGTCTTGGGCCCAAAGTTACTTACAAGCGTTCCTCAAGCCAGCACGTCATATCCGCCATCAGATCCGCGTACTTCTAGCTGGAGTCCGCGGAATCCCGTATAATGTAGTGAATGACTACATTTCGTCACAATTAATACTAAACTGGAGATAAGCGAGACAGCCATGCACCGCATTCTCCGATCGGGGTAGGGCTGCCAATCATCAGTTGCATTGAACACTATTGCTTCTGCCTAGATGTTCTCTACTAGCTATCGAAAGGAATGTGGATGGAAAGCATCTTCATGACGCGTTGAGCTCCAGTTGTAGGCAAGATGGCGCAAAAGAAACCGCTCACTAGAACGTCATCCAGCCCTCTATACGTACATAAATCTTCATCTCAAAGGTTTCCTGGAGACCATTCACCACCATAAATACCCATTCAAGATGCTCTTCACTCCTCAAATCCGTACCATCTCACGACCTTTGATCCGACAGATACCCGTCTTCAAACAAACTTCCATCAGAATGTCTTCCACCAACCAGCACGGCCAGGGCGCTTCCCACGCCACCGGACAAAGCGCTGTCCCCGGCAAGGTCCAAGAGGCTGCCCCCAAGGGCCTTGAGGAGTCCCTCCCCGAGAGCGTAAGTTTTGACATCTATGTGGTTGTTGAATCGCACTCTAACATGCCATCGCAGGTTCACCCCACCGGCAGCAACCCAAACAGCCAGTCCACAAGCAAGACCCACGCCCTCAACGACGGCGATGACTCAATCGTCCCCAAGAAGATTCAGGAGATCGTTCCTGAGTCCGTCGAGAAGGGTGAGTACCTACAATCACGTCCAGATGATCGGTTTCTAACTTAATGAAAGCCCTCCCCAACGCCATCCACAACACTGGCAACAAGTAAACTCTTAATACCTGTATACTCCAAGAAGGGCGAAGGACCGCGTTAATGCGATGAGCTTATAATGCCACCATATATCATCTGTATATAGCCTGAATGAATTAAAGAATGTTGGACAAAGCAAGTTTCACTACTGTTCGTCATGTTGTCAGAATATGGGCATATTTTGTGCAGTGGAGTCTAGAATTAGTCAGCGTGCGCGATCCACCGTGATCATACATAGAGGGTCAGCGTGGATCAACAACAACGAGAACAGAGAGAAGAACACAAATCATTAAAAAATTATTCATCACCCATATTTATGACAGTTTTACACCCGTCTTTAAAAACCCATCACAATCTGACACATGTATACTATGAAATATGGTTTGCTTA